CGACTTTTTTCTCCAGCAATTGAAGAACGCGGTAATTACCTCAAATGACGTAGAGTTTCACATACAATTCCAGGGTTCCCACTTTATAATAAATTTCATTAAAAAAATGATTTTAATGCATTTTTTAGGTTTATTGTCGAAACCGCAAGATGGATAATCTTAAGCTGTTATACGTTTTTGTTAGAAATTAAAATATAAACAAATTCTTTTAACTAAAGCACAGCTTACATTTTCAATGCTGATCTTATGGAGTTAAGCACGATGTTAAGATTTTTGAATATATAGATATGTATAAGGTCTTATCTCTGTATGCAGACATACATATGTTTAACCACAATTTTTTTTACATTTCGCCTTTGCTTTGCTCATCGCATAAATTTCCACTCTTTGTACTTCAAATTCAATAATCGATAATTGCCGCACATTACTCACTTCCTTTGAAGTAAGGCCAATTCAAATGCTGGCTGTGGCTAAAATTTCGTAAAATGGCTGAAATCACACAGACATATTCTTTCCAAAATAAATAGTCCATTTTCAAGCAAATCGTACGTTAATTTATTGTATTAATTTAATTGATTTGTATGCTAGTCTGGGGAGCAAAAAAGAGCTGAAAAAATTAATATCGAAAACAGATGTTCATAATAGACATACAGACAGACAAACAGACAGACAGACTTGGCCAATCAACGCGGCCCAAAAATTACTGCAACAATGTTAAGGAACAACAAAAACAATAACAGAGACTAGAATGTGTTGGGCACGTCAGTGGAGCGAGCCGTTGGTGGAAAGGCAATTAAAAATCTTTAAAAATTACTTTAGTGCTTTGAGAATGTTGTTTTTTTTTTTTTTAAATTAATTCATTTGCCTGAATGTGTGATGAACGAAATAATTTCACAGCTACTCATTTCCAATTTTGCATACACACACACACACATATGTACATTCGAAAGCATATCCTTTTTAATTTCATTCTTTAATATTGAAATTTTATTCAATTTTTTTTATAAACTTACCAACAATAATGCGCCATTTCAAAATGCAAAATATGGCATTTTTTAAATGAAGAAAAAATAAAATAAAAAAGATTATACAAAAGAATGAATGTTAAAATAAAAACGCAATTTATTTATTTATTGGGTGCGCTGTAAAGAGTGCTTAAAAGCTCAACTGTCGTTGATAAACAAATCACCCAGCCGAATGAATTGTTGTTTTTGTGGCTCTGACATGCTTGGATCGCCGCCATCGCTGGCCACATAATGACCGAGGCACTAAGAGAATTTTAAATCACTCAATTTCAATGGAAAATAAATTTAATAAAGCTGTTTTTGTTTTAAATTATGAACAATAAAACACAAAATGAAAGAAAGTCGAAAATAAAATAAAAAATAAAAAAATTAAGTAAAAAAGTAAAATAAAAATAATAAAAAATAAATATAAAAATCACTTAATTTAATGGGCGAGAGAGCGAATCGCGCATTGCAGATGTTGGGCGGTGTCAGGGCATTGCCTGCATCATTTTATGGCATAAATTGAACTGACAGCCAACGATGCCGCCTTCAATGAAACAGTCAATGCCATATTGAATATTCAAAAATAGATGTACATACATATGTATAATAAATTCATAAAAATAATTTAAAAAAGTGATTTTCGAAAATATGAAATACGTAGAAAAAGCCGAATTCAAATCATCAAAAATTGCAAAACTCAAGTATGGAGTAATGAAAATATAATAGTAAAGGCCTCACCTAAGTGTCGGCAGGATTTCTATTAAATCACTAAAGAGTCTCCTAAGGACTTTATAGTATTACAGACATACATTTTCTAAATTTCTTAGTCTAGTCTCGCCGTCCGCTGAAGGGCATACATCAATATTTTATAAAGTCCATATTGTGAAATTCAGTGAACATTTTTGTTGCATACTTTTAGGAGCACGGAAATCATTTCTTAAGACAAGTAAGTAATTTACTTGGCGGCCGCGGTAGCCCAGTAGTAAGCATTGCGTACTGCCATTCAGAAGGCTCGGCTGCTACATGTTTACATACATATTTACTTATGCCTTTGGGCTACTCGCATATATGTAACTGGCGCTTTGTAACCGCTGAAGCGATTTTCCGCCGAACTCCTCCTCCAATTTGTGGTTTTGCGTCTTGAGGTTTTTCCAACAAATGGAGGGACATTCAATTTATACTAAGCCGCCTCCTAAAGGCTGATGGTTCTTTTACGAGGATATACTTATAAATACCCAGTAGGAAATTATAATATTATTTTTGGGCGTCTGGCCTAAGCAGTTATTACAGCACAAATTTTGAAAACTTTTAAGTATGATTGCACTTTTTAAAGATAACTTTTTTTTATTAGTTAAAAATAAACAAATTTTGAACAGATTAAATAAAATAAAAATTATTTAAATTAAAAAATCTAAATAAAATAATGAAATATACGAGTACCTAGCACAACTTTAGGGAGTCACAACATTTCTAAAGATTTATAGCATTTTTTCGGAACATATGTATCTAATTAATATAATTTACTGTTTTATAAACAGGAAAATTATACGAAGGAAAAATAATTTATTCATTAATCCATAAAAACGAAACTTTTCGCAGATAGAAACATTTAGACCAAACTAAAAAAATGTGTAGCATAATTTAAGGCGATAAAAACAGCTCCGAAAACTCGTTGCATACTTTACGGAAATTCGAAATTCCATTTTTTACATTTCAACTACGTTGAGCTTGAGCTACATTCCTAAAAGTCTATAACGCATTTACTCCCACTAAACATTTTTCAAGCGCCCTCGAAAACAACAAAATCTCTCAAACGCAAGAAAAACAACAAAATTACCAGCATCAAAAGTCATTCAACTGCTTATGCTTATACGCATACTTAAGCTTACTTTTTCATGCAGCGGGCGGCAGCGCGCCTGTCAGTCAGCCAAATCGTTTCGACTCCGGCAAGTCCAACGGCCTTATTCGACGCTTTAATGGATAAAAGATGAATAGAATTAAAATTATTGAATGTGAGATTTAATGTGAGTGTATGTGTGTTTCTCAAATATAATTGAGTGGCATTGTAAACTCGAAAAAAGGAGGAATAAAAAAAAAGAATTTACATGCCAACACACTTATTTATATACACATGCATATTTATTTATGTACTTTCATATGCTATATAATGACATGCATTATTTATTTCGAATTATTTTATTATTTTCAAGTGTTCTATTTCAATTTTTTTACATCATCATCATCACTCGCTGCAAAGTGCTTTCACTTTAAACTTTTTTCTATTGAAAACATATTTATGAAAGCCTTCAATTAATGGAAGCTGTTAAAAAATGGTCAAGCAATATTTTATTTTATTTTTCTTCTTTTTTTCAAGTACGAAAATACATTTCTATTCGCAGTTATAAACAAAATGGCAACTAAATACATATAAATAAAAGTTGAATTGTATTTATTGGACAATTTGTTTGTATGTATGTACGTAGCTACTAATAATAAATACGCGTGAATAAATTCAATCGTTTAAATAAACTAACCAATCAGCTTGCGAGTGTTTTTTTTTGTTTCATTTCGTAAAAGCACTTAGAATGTTTCTAACGATCTGGTCTCCATTTGTTGATTTGTTGTTGCTTTATTTATGAGATTTTACTCTATGTGGCGTTGCTCTATTGTACGATCGGTTGGTTGGTGGCATTTAATTGGTTATCAAAATACATGTATTATAGGCGCACAAAATATATTAACGTACATATGTATGTATAAATATATAATATGAAGGCACATAGAAGTATGCGGTTTAAAATCAATTCAATATTATGACTTAAATTGACGTATTTGAATAAGTTTAAAATGATTACGTAGCTCAAAAGTTTGTTTTTGTTTTTTATTTATTTATTAAATTTTTTCTTAATGAACTCATCTTTGTAAGAGTTTTTTGCGCTTCTACATTTAAAAAGTAATTATTTTTATTTCTTTCTTTATTGCAATATTTGAAAAAAAAAAGTTTATATTTCATTGTTTGCATTTTTCTCCCTAAATAAATAATTAATTAATGAAATTTTATGGTTTGACGGGTCTTGCATTTATAATTCTTAATTTTATATATACACATACTTATATGTGCTTATATGTATGTATATACAACTACGTTGTTCAAAAGTGCAATGCGCATTCCAGAAATTATATATTTTTTTATGTAAAATCATTAAACGTAAAACTTTGCGGGATCATTGATTTCTTAATTCCATTTTGAAAAGCGTAAATATTTCAAAAGTCGATTTTTTTTCAAGGCAAATAAACTGTCAGGCGACAATAATTGCGTATTTTTTAAGCGATTTACAAATTTGCAATATTTTTTGTACTGATTTTTCATTATTATTTTTATTTTTTGCATTATATTTCCATCATTGTTTGACTAAAAAATTGTTTACCAAAAATATTTGTTTTCATTTTTTAATATTTTTAAGCTAAATTTTAACACATTTTCTGTTCTTGTAACAGTAAGAGTTCGCATTTAGAACTTTTTATTGGTAGCAAAACTTTCCTGTCACTTGCCAAAGCAATAATTTACTGCTTTTCCGCAGAATTAACTTAATAAGGAACTGGAAGTGTGTCTTGAACGTTTTATATTTCCGGCCAATTTCATTGTAGCATCATTTTCAAATGCAACGCCGAACTACAAATCCATCATAGTCATTTTCAAGACTCAAATTTTAAATGCTTTTTCCTCTTTATTTCACTTTTTTGGCATAAATTTGTAACCAATTGCAATTGATTTAATTTTTCGTTCGAGGCGATTAATTGTTTGCTATTTTAATTTAGTCAACTTGTAAACAAACCGTATCAGCTGTCAGAAATTCGCCATTGTGAATACCCAAATGGCCGAAATTCACAATTGCGCTATCCTTCGTTGAAAAAAAAATTCAAAAATTTGTAAAAATAAACTTAAATATTATTTAATATTATTATTTTTTCTTCTTCTTCTTCTTTTAGGTTAATAAACAATACTCAGCCACCGATTTGGAGGCTTTCATGAAAATTGCCGTGAATTGGCAGAATAGCAACCATAGCTTATTGGAAGGTGTTGATATAAAAGGAGGTAAGATATTGTTTACTTATGTAAATATGTATGAAAGTATATGTATTAAGAAACAAAATACTACTGGAATAAACCTGAAGGCGATAATTAATGTCGTAGCCATTTTGGTAGATGATCTGCTTCGGACTTCCTACGCGCGAAGAAGCTTTGATTTTAAAAAGCGAAAAAAACTGATTCAACTCATTTAGCTTAATCGTTATCGAAATATTTAAAATTTAATTGGTTTTGAAGGGTACAAATTTAATAGTAATTTAACGGTCCAATGTCATGTCTCTGGGATGAAAAGCGTTTTTTTTTAATTAATTTCGTCGTTAATTTTCATTTTAGAGCGTCCGTAAACGTTCAGCACCTCGCCCTCCTTTCCTGTAGCCTAAAGTGACCTTTGTGGTGACCCCTAGCATCTCCTGCTTTATAAATTTGCATATTTAATTGGTGCTTTGTAACCATGAGTGAGTGTCGGCCGAGCTTCCTGCCCAAATTTAAGGCCGCATGCCTGATATTTATGATAATAGTTTATTCTAACACGTTTTCGAACGCCCGATGGATTTTTATGAGAAGCTTTTATTTATGTCAGTAATACACTTGAAGGCTAATAAACATTCCCTTCCGAGGGACGAACGAAATGAGATAAATTAATTTTCTATAAATGTATATGTATGCTTGTCGAATCATCACTCATACCCTGCTCTTCGGAAAGGTAGTATGCAATGCAAGCCACTCGGCTTTTACGGACGCCAAACGATTGTATATAAACCAATCCCTCTACCTCTTGGCCGAGTTACTTGATTCATGGACACTCCCTATCAAATTATACATATAACAGCCACCCAGAGAGCATAATTTTATAATGATGATTATCAACTTTAGATGGCTTTTTTGAGAGCTAATTTTGGTTGATCCTCAGAAAGACGATTTCAGACAAAATTTTGGGGTTTTCCAATATTTGAAGGAGATTCTCTAAAATATACATATCGCATACATATAGTCCCCCTATTCACCTACCATTTTTATGAAAACTTTATTTTGCACTCTTTTCCCAATAGAAATGCAACAATACATGAACAGTCCGGCGATGAATATGTATAAAAAACGGGAGCGCACACAAAATTGGAATCATCAAGAGAAGAAGTTCCTGCTCGATTTATGTCGTAAGGATATGCGTATTATCGAGAACAAACGACTCGATGCTGGACTGACGGCGGTGAAGAATAAGGCTTGGAAAATAATACATCAGAAGTTTTCAAGTCAATTCGGCACAGATCGGACGTGTAATCGTTTGAAGGAGCAATGGCGGCGCATGAAAGGTGAGTGAGAGATAGAAAAAGAAGATTATATAATGAGAGCATTTAAATACAACATGATTTTAAGGCAAACTAAAAAGTATTTAGATTTTACAAAAATTTAAAAAATAAGGTATTTTTTAAAAGATTTTGGATTTTGGTCTACAGATTGACTAATCCGGCTTTCTAATTAATACGATTAGCTTTGGTTTAATTTTTTTGAAATTCAGTTAATATATTTTTTAGATGAATTTTCACATTTTCACATTCAAATTGTTATTCCTGCTTTTGCTTTCAGCCTGCACGCGTAACGAAATTTTAGATTACAACAATCGCCTAACACGATTTGGTGCCGAAGTAGCCGATCGCAAAAAACCATCGCCATTCACATTTGAAGTGTGGGAATTCATGCAAGAGGCAAAGAAAGCTTGCAAATCTGAAGCTTTGGATGGCATTGATTACTCGAAAATACCGTTAGCGCTCGAAGAGGACTATGAGTATCGCGAAGATGAACAAAATGGCGAAGATGATCACGATATGGATGAGTAAGTAAAGGGGCGCAGTTAAAAATACTAAAAATTGAGGGTTGGATATATTTATTTTAATATTTTAGTATAATTAATTTTTTTGATTTTTTTTTCTCAACCTCCTTTTTTGGATTAAACTAATTAATTTTTTTCCTTTTTCCCTCCCCACTAACAGCAGTCGCACACCACCACAGGAGCTCTGCGACGTTGACATCAAGGAGGAGACCAATGAGACCTTTAATGACACCAACACACACAACGAATCGCTGGCGCTCGGCGAACGTCGCCCATCCTCCTCCTCGCCGAACCTCAGCCGCCTCGGTGCACATCATGACCTCGAACGCGCCAGCCTACACAGTCCAGCCGGTAACTTGACGGCATCCAGCGAACTCGCCAACGCCAGCTATCTCGCACAAAACGGCGCTAGCGGCGGCGCGGCGGTTGGCGGCAGTGCTGGTGATATGGGCGCCTTCCAGCCTGCCTTCAACATGAGCAATATCTCTGCCACACTGGAAGCTTTGAATGCGTTACGTAGCGGACAATTCCCCTCAGCTGCTGCTGCCGCCGCTGCCGCTTTACAGAATAACTTTGCTGCAGCTGCTGCGCAACAACATCAACACCAACACCAACACCAACACCAACAGCACAATCAACAACAATCCCAATTGTCGCCAAACGATGAACAACCCCTGGTGAAGCGTCCACGCAGCTCGAGCGGCAGCGCAAACGGTGAGGAAGTGTTGCACGACTTATCCATGAATGGTGCAGCTATTGCGAATGCCGGCTCAGCTAATCCCGCCAGCGCGCATATCGGCGTCAACGGTGGCGGTGGTGGCATGAGCGCGTCGGCAAGTAGCACGCCGGAGATGCGCGCCTTCATGGAGATGCAGAGCAAGGAGCATCTGATGCGCATGAAAATACTCGAAGTCCAGCTGCAGGCGGCCAAATATAATCGCGATCTCGTCGAGATCAACAAGACATTGGCGTTGCAGAAACTGCAGGAGTTAGCCAGCAAGCGCTTGACCAGCTAAGTTTGGCGCGTAGTGAAGACGAATGTTGGAACGCATGTATGAAGGCGAGGAGAAGCGTTGAGCGACAGCGGATTTGATACTTACGACGGAAGAATGTTAGCGGAGCAAGGCAGCTGTGTATGACGTGCGCGTAGGCAAGTCGGCGGTGGCAGCGGCAGCATACGAAGTGCTGTCGTCGAGCACACAATGTCTTACTTACATATACTTTTTTTATAAACGTTAATTAATGTCTTTGGAAATAGCTGTAATAGTTTGTATTACTGTTATCTTGATTTTTGTCTTTCTTATGTATAAAACATTCCTGTTAGCGTCAGTTGTACTCAAAACCCTATATACGGTTATTAGTAGTACTTACTTTTCGATTCTTACTGTTTTAATGTCACAAATTTTAAAGCCAACGATGAAATATAGCAAAGAAAAAAATTAATTTTTACTTTTTTTCTAAATATTTTTTTTTTTTGCCACAACAGTATTTATAGGAAAGAGTAATAGAGCTCAAAGAAGTTGGTGTGAAAGCCCGGCAAAGTATTATTGAAGACACAACTCCAAAAAAGATATAGAGAAGAAAACAATAGTTCGTAAATGCAATAGCCCTACCTCAGTGGTTCGCAGCCAAGTACAATAACAACAAAACAATAAAAGAATTTTTTTCTACAAATAAAATCGCTACAAACTAAAAGCAAAATATCAATGGAGTTGAATTTGGAAGTTTACTTATTTAAAATTAAAATTATTTCTTTAATTTGTTCCATAATTTGGGCGAGTAATTAAACAAATCTTTGTTCGCAACTTTAAAATTAAGTTTAGTGTTATTATGTACACCGTTATATTTACGCCACAAATTTGATTTACCTACGCAGTGCCACTCCCATGTATGACTTTCGAAGGGCACACAGTTAGCAGCGCCTAAAACGCTACTACTCTTTGAATAGTTATTAGCGGCGTGAAAGAGCCGCAGCTTGTAAATTTTGAAATAAAAAAAAGCACGAGTAAGTTCCAAGCAAATATAATTATTGTTAATAAAAAAAAGGAAAATTTGTTCAAAAACCAATTAGCGAAAATTTGAAAAAGTCTAATTAAATTAAAAATATTTTTCTCCCACGAATTTTGTTAAAACCTAGAGCTGGTGTTGAGAAAATCATTAAAATAATGAAAATATTTAACACAAATATAATTGCTGAACGCAGCAAGAATTAAAATCAAAATTTTTAATTTGAATATTGATTCAAAAATTCTACAAATGAATTCTAAAAGCTCTAAAGGTGCCAAAAAACAAAACATTTCAGAAATTTAGTTTTATTAAAAGAAATTAAAAAAAACTAAAACAGTAAAGTTGAACGAAAATCAGTGGCAAAAAGCAAAAAACAAAACATTTTTGAAGTAATTAAAAAACATACAGACACATGTAGATATAAACAAATTACAGTAATTATAAATGATGAATTAAATAAATATTTTTGTACTTATATAAATTTGTAATTTAGAAAAATTTAATGCTAAAATAAAGAAAAACTTATAACAAATAATTTTTAAAATATATTATATACATGAAGAGGGAAAAGTAAAATTAAAAAAATTAAATAAAATATCGTAAAAAAACAAAATAAAATTAAAAGAATAAAATAAATAAATAAATTAAAAAAAAAATAATAAAATAAAAAAAAAAATAAAATAAATTTAATAAAATGAAAAAAAAAATATTTAACCTAAATGAAAATAAAATTAAATACAATAAAATGAAACAAAAAAAGAATATGATATAACAAAATAATAAAATAAAATGAAAAGATAAACTAAATTAAAATAAAAAATTAAATAGAGTAAAATAAAATAAAATAAAATAAAATAAAATAAAATAAAATAAAATAAAATAAAATAAAATAAAATAAAATAAAATAAAATAAAATAAAATAAAATTATATAAAATTATATAAAATTATATAAAATTATATAAAATTATATAAAATAATATAAAATAATATAAAATAAAATGAAATAAAAAAAAATAAAATAAAATAAATTTAAATTAAATTAAATTAAATAACATAAAAAATACTAAATTAAAATATAAAAATAATATAATATAAACTAAAATCAAATTAGATAAAATAAAACAAAGTATCTCAAAAGAAAACTAGTTAAAACAATATAATAAGCAAAATAAGATAAAAAACAATAAAATAAAATTATTACTATAAATAAAAAATTAAATAAAACTAAAAAAAGATCAAAAAATAAAATAGAATAAAAGTAAGTAGAACAAGATAAAATAAAATTAATTGAAAAACGCCATAACAACTACAATAAAATTAATCTAATAATTAAATTAAACCACATAAAGAAAATAAAAGAAATTAAAATGTAATAAATTAAGTAAAAAAAAAAAATATTAAACAGAATAAAACAAAATATATTAAATAACAAAACTTATAAAATGAATAAAAGACAAAATAAATTAAAATAAATAATTCCAATATAAAATGAAATAAATAAAATATAAAAAATTAAATTAAAAAATATCGTAAATTAAAAAAAGGAATTAAATTAACTAAAATTCAGCAAATCAAAGGGAAAAAATGAAAATTAATTTAAATTAAATATAAATAAATTAAATTATGTTAAATGTAATAAAATGAAACAATAAAATGTAGAAAAGAAAAATTAAATAAAATTAAACTAAAATTAAAGAACTTGAAATAATACAAAATGAAACAATTTAAAATGAAAATAAAATATAAAGGACAATAAATTAACTTGAAAAAATTAAACCAAATTATATTAAATAAATATCAATGAAATATAACAATTTAAAAAATAGTTATATTTGTTAAACTAAAATAAAATAAACCAAGTAAAATTAAATCGAACAAAAAATTGGTTCAAATAAAAGAGAATAAATTAAGAAAACACCTTAAATTAATAGAAAAAAAATTAAATTAAATATAAATATTAAAACTAAACTAAAATAAAATGGAGTTAAAATAAAACAAAACCAAATGACATTAAAATAAAATAATATATATAAAAACAAATTAAAAGCTTATATACTAAATTTTTGTATACATTTGTACATAAGCACTAAAAGGCGCAGAGTATTGAGTTGATAATATATATATAAAATAAAAAAAATTATAAGTAAGTTAAATCGCTTAATAAATGCAAACTTAATTGCATTAACAAGTAAATGTAGTTTTTTAAAATTTAAGTAAATTTAAATAGAATTTTAATATAAATGTTCTATATCTTTGAAGTTCGCTTTATTAACAAGTTTTTTTCAACAGCTTATTTAATGCTTTTGGCTTGCAAGTTATCTTTTTGTTAGTTGCATGCATATATATATTTTTATTTTATTTTCTTTTATTCTTTTTAAATATTTTTTTAGTTAAATTTATTTTGGAACTTTGTTTAAGTTTTAATATTTTTGATTTGGCCTTACATAATTTGTTTAAAACATTATGAAAAAAAACTTGTTTTGCCATAATAACAAACAAAAAAATAACAAATAAAAGAAATCTGCGTTGTTGCATTGTTAAAAAAAAAAAAAAAACATACAAAAACTTAAAAACAAATGAATTACTTAAATAAACCAATATTAAGCTAAAATTCTTAGAGTACCGTAGACTGTAAATAAATAAATAATGTATACTTTACAAATATAAACGAAAACTTGTTACAATAAAGAAATGTTGAAAATGGAGGAAGAAAAAAATTTATTTTCATAATATTTAGTATTAGATGCTTCTGTTCAAACGCACTTAAAGCGGATATATGTGACTATACCAGTTTATATATCGACATATTATAATATTACATATTACTTTTCAACAGAAAACTTAGTTATACAAAAATACTTATCATACACACAAACATATATCACAAATAAAATTTGATTTTATTAAAGTAAAATTAAAAAATACAATCAATGTTGTTGCATAATTTTGGGCGGATATGCTTATTCATTTACAGAAACAATTCAATTGTTGCAAGTGAGTTGTTGTTGTTGTGGGGTTTTTAATTAATTTATGTGTTTGTTCAAATCAGTTGATTTAAATCTCAAATGAAATAAAATAAAGTAAAATAAAATAAAATAGCATAAAAAATAAACTAAACTAAAATAATTTAAATATTGGATGAGTGCATAAGTTCGTGCCCGATTCCGCTGGATGCCGTTCGAATCGTTTGAGAGTGGCGCTCGTGAAAGAAATATATACATATTATATATCGTTGGAAAGGTGACAGTCCGAACTGTAAATCAAG